AATCTTGTTTTTCTTGCGTCAGCGGTTATACTAACTTTTAGCATTGCAAATTTTAGCCTTTTTTGTGATGACAGACATTAATTTGGTAATTCTTGCAAAAAAAGAATAATTATTGAATTTTAATGAAATTTTCAGAATTTATTTACAAATGAATGAAATTATTTCGGAAATTTGATTTATTAGAAAATTTTGGTAAAAAATTTTTTACATGTGTTTCACCCACTTATTTAATTTTATGAAAACTTGAGAAACTCAACGTGATAATTTTTACAGACTATATTAGTTAAAAGTAGCAATCTTTGAAGAATGCTTTGGTAAAATCGAACCTCGTTTTACTGAAAATATGTTCTGAATCGAAAAATAAAAATAAACGCAATAAAACTAAGACATTATTTAATTGGGGGATCTTTTAAATGATTTTATGAATAATATATGATAAAGACGATATCGAATATTTTAAAAAGACTTTCGATTTGATTTTGTATGTGTATATCCGTGCAGAATTTCTGAAGTATGGATTATTCATTCGATTTGTTTTCATATATTACAATTTCAAATTAAATAATTTATAAAGATTTTTAATCTTTCAAATTTAGTTTCAATGTGATAACTCTTAGAAAATAATGTTATTGCATAAAACTTATCATATATTGTGAAGCTTATTACTATCTGACGACCCCGAATATTTTAGAAAGACTTTCGATTTGATTTTGTATTTGTATATACGTGCAGAATTTTCTATTTATGGATAATTCATTCATTATTTCAATGAATTCTGGGTCAAAACCTAAAAAATGATCCTAAAAGACTTAAATTAATAATCAATGATGGGACTAAACCGAAATGCAGGATGTGCTGAAAATATGACAGAATTATCTGAGGATGTCCAGAACTAGCAAAAAAAAAAAACAATTTAAGAAATAAATAAGAACAGCAAATATGTGCAATGGAAGATATGCAAAAAGCACAAAATCCAAACGACCGAGAGATGATACAAGTACCAACCAGACACAGTTGATCAAAATAAAGACGTAACTATCCTCTTTAACATGACAATTCAAACTGACAAATTTAAATAAAACCAACGGACCTGATAATTCAAAAAGACCCTCAAATTCAGGAAAAAGTATTTTTATTGACATACAAGTACCGTTCCAATACACACCACCGTGAAAATTATGGAGAAATTGTCTAAATAAGAGGATCTGGAGATCAGGATTTGGGGAATGAAGACAGAGACTGTACGAAGACTAATCAGAGCTATTTACTAACAGTGTCCTAGGTACAACATACATGTTGCCCAGCAGATCGCCCTACTAGTAACATCCCATATACTAAGAAAAGTGCTGTCAATTAAATGACAATACCCCTATAAGCCCAAACGACCAGAATTTGGTCCCGGATATACAGGATACAAGGTAGGAAACATAACATATAGAAATAATAATAATAATAAAGACCACAAACAAAAAAAAGACCACAAACAAAACAATTTTATTGATATGGCAGTCCCCAAAGACTGCAATGTATCTTTGAAGATATTCAAAAAGCTGTCAAAATACAAGGACCTTGAAATAGAAATCTCAAAAAGGCTCATGAGAACATCAACAATTTCAGTTGTAGATGGAGCCCTAGGATTGGTTGGAAAAGATTCCAGTAGACTAATTGAAGGGATTCCTGGAAGTCCATGCCTCAAAGTGATACAAAAATTGTTCTGACAAGTACAGCCCACACTTTACGAAGGGCTTTATCTATGTAATTTTTTTTTGTCAGTGGAAAGTTTCATGATGCCATTTCTAACCTTAGATCCCTGGGCGGGACCCGGAAAGAAATGTGTAATCGCCAGAAATCAAAGGAAATAATAATAATAATAATAATAATAATAATGATAATAATAATACAATTAAAACTGAATATTAAATAAAAGAATGTGTTTGACCTGATTATTATAAAAACAAAAATTCAGGAACTATAAAATTATTGACATAGAAGACCATCTGAAATGGCACCTTTGAGATCATACGGTTTCCAATAATAATATTATTAATAATAAAATTTGGAGCATTTAATAACCTGCATACAAAAAAATTGGTACACGACCTATATAGATATTAAGTAATAATAAAAATAAAAAAACACCAATATTTGAATAACGTTAGCCGCAAAATTTTCATTTAAAAAATCCAATTATTGTCAATACCTCATATCACATATTCTTGCCTGTATTACCAGCAATACATTATTACCAGCATCACATTTTTTTACCATGTATACATTTTTTTAAAAAATATTACCAGCAATACATATTTGAGGAAAAAAAATATTACCAGCAATACACTTTTGAAGGAAAAATATTACCAGCAATAAAAATCTTGTCGGCATTAAATAACCCACTGAGATTGAAATGCTGTAAAACAAAACAAATTAATCCAAACCAATTATTTTCTGTACCATCATGCTTTCTGGTTTGTATCTCCTCTGGTACTGTGTTCACGTGAATACGATAACTTGCATTAGAGAAGTGAATGACCATCGATTACGATGTAAATAAGTAAAATGATTGACAATGTCTTTTGGCTTCTTAGTAGATAAATGTAAATTTAAATTCATCATCATCATTACCTTGACTGCTTCAATCGTCGGGTGTAGCTTAGTGTAGAAGAAATAGACAGCCGCCTCCAGGAAGATATAATTTGTTCTCATTGTTTTAATTTTGTATGCCGAGCTTAACAAAATGAATATTTTTGTAAAAATCACGTCCATCTTCAACAGTGTCTTGCATGATGGCCTTGCAGAGCCTGTTATGCCGTGTGACGTGGCCAAACCATTACAGCTTCCGACGCTTAATAGTGGCGATAAGAGATTCCTGTCGACCCACCTGACTTGGTTCCCTACATATAATGAAATGTGAAGTCGTCTGGCAAGATTTGTTCAAAATATTCAGATCATTTTAATGTCTCAGCATTTTTGTTCCAAATCTTTCGATAAACGTAGAGGAGAGCGATTTGTTGAGCTTGCACATAGTATGGAAGCTAGAGTTGTTCTTGCATGTCATCCTTTCCTGTCTGGTCATCGCTGTTGTTGCCTAACCTCTTCCACGATGAGCTGTTGACGTTGGTTCTCAGAAGTGCCAGCATTGTCATGCCTGTCAGGTCTTTAATGTTACTTGACCAACTCTTGCTTTGCCATCATCGCTATCGTCCGCCTTCAATAGTACCTTGCATGATTGTCTTGCAGAGCCTGATATACCGTGTGATGTGGCCAAACCATGATATGTTCCGAGAAAAATATCTCTAATGGACATTGCCATCACCGCCATTTTCCGTCCTCTTCAAGAATTTTTCCTTGCATAAATGGTTATTGGTAGAGCCTGATATAACGTATTTTATGGGGAAAAACAATTAAATCTTCCGACCTTAAGATCTTTGCGTTGCCATCAATTTGACTGTCCGCCTTCAGCTGTCGAACACATGCTGGTCTTGCAGAGCCTGAAAAACGTGAACGTGGCCAAACAATTACATTTTCCGGAATAATTTATAAATTGCGTTGCCATAAACCGCTATCGTCCGCCTTTAATAGTAAAATTTAATTGATGGTCTTTCAGAGCCTGATATAATCGAAAAGTTGATGGGCCAAACCAAAATATCCTCGAAGATTTAAATTGTTACCAAAAATTTTTTAAAGATCTTGCTCCACAAAATAGTCAAAAAATTTCTGCTCCCAGTACGAGCAAATTAATTCTTACTAAATTGGTCCTTTACCTTTGCTCGCTACTGTATATGAAGATGCTGAAAGATAATCATAAATCTATATAAGATTAGATAAGTAGTTCTAAACTGATTGATATACAGGTGAACAGTTAGTGATAAATAAGCAAACAAACAAGTAGGTAGACAAATAAGTAATATTCTTGTGAGTGCGTGACAGAGACAAAGGGGGGGGAGATATGATTACAGTATCGTTTTTAAATCTGCTGTCTTGGGTAGAGGTTATTTTCCTGATATGATGAGGTTCGTCAAAGCAAAAGAGCGGTGCGCGTGGGGTAGGGGTTCAGATCGATGGGCACCGATACTTATTCGTGATGGTGGGTTTTTCAGTGCAAAACACCTGGTGGTGGGGGGCGAACAATTCATGATCAAAACAGGTTAGAACCAATAAGGCTGGATATTGCCTCATTGATTTTCTTTACTTCCTGCTAACCTGTTGTTTTTTGAGCGCCCTCATTAGATAGAATGCCAGTTTTGACGTCTTTCTTTAATAAACTTTACCTGTGATATCCGCGCGTAACAGTGTTATTTTGTAATGATTAAAATAATTCCAGTTTTCGAAATAGGGAAATTGTTTTTTAGATTCTGGTAAACATATCGAGAGCAGCCTGTGTAACTTATACAGGTAAACGAAATACAAATTCAATAAATTTGCACGCATTTGAAGAAAGAAGAAACACACAACACACACACACACACACACACACACACACACACACACACACACACAATTTATATATATATATATATATATATATATATATATATAACAAGATGGAAAAGATAGGCAGGGATAGATAAATGATTCGATCAGAGAGAGAAAAGAGATAATGATAGACACAGACAGAGAGAATAAGAGAGAAATCCAGAAAAACGATGAAGGGGAAATAAAAAAAATGGCAGACACGGGAGCATAGACACATACACACATTCACACGCACACACATATATATATATATGTATATATATATATTCATAGATAGATAGAAAGATAGATAATGAATACACTGAGATAGATAGATAGATAGATAGATAGATAGATAGATAGATAGATACATACATAGATAGATAGATAGATAGATAACGAACAGACAGAGGAAGGAAAGGAAACATATATACCCGGAGAAACATGCACACACACTCATACACAAACACATATATATATATTAACATGGAAAGAGTAAGCAGGGAAAGTGATACGAAGAAAGCGAGGAGACGGAGAGAGAAGCACATTTAATATAAAGATAGAGTGAGAAAAACAGAGACTAAGAAACAGATGAACGACAAACAAAACTTGAGTTGAGGGAGAGAGAGGGAAAGGGGAGAGCAAGGACTGAAACGAGGAGAGAGAGATATAAACACAAACATAGGGAGAGGAATAAAGAGGAAGATCGAAAGGGAGAGAGAAAAGGGGAGAGAAAGAGAGACGGGAAGGACAGACAGATAGGTAGATAGATAGATAGATATGCTGAAATAGATAAAGTGATATGGACACAATGGACCATAAAAATATATTTATATGTATATATATATATGTATGTATGCATATATATATATATATATATATATATATATATATATATATATATATATATATTCAGAATAGATATATATATATCGGTATGCATGTATGCATATATATATATATATATATATATTCAGAGATAGATAGATAGATAGATAGAAAGAAAAATAGTTACAAAGAGGTAGAGATACAGATGGAAATGAAAAAGGATCAGGAATGAATGGAGAAATTTTTAAGAAAGAAAATAAACTGCTTAATGCAGATCTTGCTAATCGCTTTTGGTTGCCTTTTTAAACATATCTGAACATAATGGACATATAATTTATAGGCATTTCCAAATCTCGAAAGAGTCCGCAGAGATCAATACATATCAATAATTGATCACCGCATTAGGTCGCTTAGGGCAAACAATACAGATTAAAAATTGATATCAAAAGAACACAGTCTCAACCGGGTTCTCCCAAAAAGATGTAATCGTTGAATGGCAAATTTAAGGGGATCATCTTGCAAGATTATTTGCTTAATGACCACGACTATCACACTTATAGATAAGCATCATAATTTACAAATCTTGTTAAATTCGATTCAAAAATTTGATATATATATATATATATATATATATATAATATATATAATATATATATATATATATATTTATATATATATATATATATGTGTATCCTATATATAAAAATAAAAAGAAAGAACAGTAAGATATATAATCCAGTGTTCTTATAGATATTTTTATTTTTACAAAATAGTGCTCAATGTAAATTTGCAGAGCATTAATATTATAAATTAATTGATTTAAAATATGGTTTTTTTTCCGCTACACAGTTCTAACCATGTTTCAAAAATGGAAGCTAAAAAGCCCCGAATTTAATTTTTAAAATTAAATTTAAGAATTAGTTCCATTTCATCCTCAAGCGAATTTTGGAGTAACTTTTAAAAATCACTGGGTTTTTAAATACACAGCTAAAATCAAAAAATTCATGTTTCCAAGGTTACAGATAAACCTATTTTTTTTAGACAGGGGCGATCTATGTGTTCAGTATGTCTATATTTTAATGTATCAGTTATTGTTACTTTTGGTAGTGGGTAGGGTGTATTTTTCAATGAAATCTAACTTTAATTAAAAGCGTGTCGTCTGGATTTTTTTTTATTTAAAATTTATATTGTTAACGGCTAAAATTTTTACGGCATTTTTTTTTTTTCCCACGTATATTTTTAATTTATGTCTTTAATTTAATTACAAAATTAAATTCGGGGCTTTATTTTATGGCACTCCATTTTTGAAAACATGATTAGAACTGTGTAGCAAAAAAAAAACATTTTAAATCAATTAATTCATATGCTGCGTATATATATATATATATATATATATAATGTTCAGACATGAATAATATCTAAAAGGTCCCTATCCAATGTCCGTTAATTGATATAAAACGCAGAGTTATGTTCAGAAATTATTTGTAAAAAGATTAGAAAGAAAAAAATTTACATTTTTTAACGTTTTATTGAAATTATATTTAAGTTTCCACATGTTCTCCATCATTAGCAATACAAAGAGTAATACGATTTTGCAGTTCACGGAAAACATTTGCCAACTGATTTGCAGTAATGCCTGAAATCACATTAGTTATTTTAGCTATAATTAAAACTAGGTACATTAAACTTTATAACATTTTTTACAGATTATATCTATCGCAAATACAAATAAAGTTAAGAATTTTTAAAAGTGCACTCGAACCATATGGACACCCTAATATATATATATATATATATATATATATATATATATATATATATATATATATATATATATTATATCAAAATTTACTTAACAAATCGTTTTTAGTTGCTGTATCCCTGTTGCCAACCATTCTTCAGGGGGTTCTTTAAATGGCTATCTCCCCAATTTGCCACCGAGAGATTTTAAAATCGAATATAACGACTAAAAATGTATTTGATATTTACGGTTCAGTAATATTACTAATGCACTATTTTTAGTATTATTTTAATACTTTTTATATTGAGCATTATATATAAATAACTATGATATATATATATATGTATATATATATATATATATATATGTATATATATATATATGTATATATATATATATATATATATATATATATATATATATATATATATATATATATATATTTTTATATATATATATATATATATAGATAGATAGAGAGAGAGAGAGAGAGAGAGAGAGAGAGAGAGAGAGAAAGATAGAGTATGGTTAAGAGTATTTTGGTTGATTGTGTATTTTGCGTGTGTTCGTGTTTATTTAGAAATGTCGAAAATGAATGAAACGAATATATTCAGTGTTACGTCATTCACTGAGGATCTCTCCACCCTGCCACACCTTGTTTATCACTTATTTTTTTCTGTTTATCCCACGAAATCCCGTTCAGACCATACCCCGAAATTGTTCCAGGCTGCCAGCCGAAAATATGAATATGAAACAGTCTTTTAGAATGAAAATGAAGGAAAGGAGAATTTGGGGAGATCGTTGAAGGCTGGAAACAAAAGACAAAAAAGGTGGGGGGGAGAAAGAGGACAAGTGTCGAAAAAGAAAGGAAAGAGAAAAGAAAGAAAGGAAGAAGTCAATAAGGACGATAAGCAAAGCAAGTGGAAGAGAATGAAGGAGAGATAATACTGAATGAAGAGCAACGGAAAGACGACAAGGTTTTTAGAGAGACAGGCTTAGAGTGTTTCAGGATAAGAAAATGATTGTGAGGAGGTGGAAGATTTTGAGAAGTGTTGAGGAATAAACGGGAGAATAAGAAGAAAAAATAAATTAAAATTTATGAAAGAATAAAATGAAAGTTCACACAAATAAAACGGTGGATGAAATATGAGGAAAAGAAAATTAAAAAAAAAAATATTACGAGTAAAATCAATCCAAGAAGTAGAGCATGAAAATATTTTTGAGAACTGAAGAAGAAGAAGAAGAAGAAAAGGGGGAGGAGGAGGAGGAGAAGAAGATGATGATGATGATGAAGAAGAAGAAGTTTAAGAAGTAAATAAAGTAGAGGAGGAGAGGTTAGGAGATCAGCAAGAAAGATTATAGTGAATTGAAAAAGAAGAAGAAGAAAAGAAGAAAAGAAACAGAAGAAAAAGAAGGAAATGAAAGAAGAAGACGATGATGAAAAAAGTAGAAGTAGAAATAGGAGTAGGAAAAGAAGTAGTAGTAAAAATAAGAAGAAGAAAGAAAAGAGAAGAAGAGAAAAAGAAGAAGAAGAAGAGAAAAAGAAGAAGAGAAAAAGAGGAAAGAGAACGAGAAGAAGGAAAAGAAGACGGAGAATCAAAGGAAGAAAAGGAAAAAGAAAGAGAAGAACGAGGAGGAGAAGGAGAAGAAGAAGAAGAAGAAGAATGAGAAAAAAAATAAGAGGAAGAAGAAGAAGAAAATAAGAAAAGGAAGAATGAGATAAAAGAAAAGAGGAAGAAGATGAAGAAGAAAAAGAAGAAGAATAACAAAAATGAGAAGAAAGAAAGAGAAGACGAGAAGAAGAAGACGAGAAGAAGAAAGAGAAGAAGAAGAAGAAGAGTTAAAGAAGAAAAAGAATGAGAAAGAAATTAAGGCAAAGAAAAGGAAGTAAATGAAGAAAGAGGAGCAGAAGAAGAAAAAGACGAATAAGAAAAACGAGAAGAAGAAGAAGAAGAAGAAGAAGATATCGATTAAAAGCTGAAAAGAATAATGGGAAAAATGAAATCTCGAAGAATTTCTCTTTCTACTTCATAAGAGGGTAAAAAAGAAAACACTACAAAAGAAGAGCCTGTAGCATTCCTATTTGTCGCTACAATCGAAATGGATGGCGTTGATGGGTTTGTCTATACTTTTTTGCAAGATGCAAGACACGTTTATCTGTTTGCACGTCTCGCCATGCGCGGAAATACGAAAACATTATTCGTTCTGATAAAAACGCAAGATTCTAAAGTTAGAAAGCAATTGGAAATTTTCTCCAAAACAAAAATGATATTTGAAAAATGAAGAAAACAAACAACTTCATAAAAGTCAGTCTGTATTATGATCCATTTAATAGGGGTGGGATAATGTTGGAACAACCAAGGCAAAACATGAAATTCTACATATTACCCTCTATGAAAATGGTCAGCTCATTCACACACAAACACGCATATATATATATATATATATATATATATATATATATATATATATATATATATATATATATATAGGTATATAATTGGTATATACGGAATGAATTCCAATAACCAACAATTACTATTCTTAAAAGAGAGCTCAATACAAAGTAGAGCAGATATAATTAACATATTTATTTATTTTCTATATATGTCTTATCAAGATGATGTTGAAGATCTTCAACATCACTTGATAAGACACCGAGTGTAAGTTGAAACAAATGGCTATTTTTGTAGTGATTTATAACATATTTATGCTATAATTTTTTATAATAATAATTATATATATATATATATATATATATATTTCTGAGATGAGTTATTATGTACACTATTTACATTATTCGGACTATTGTCATCGTCTTTGTCACCATATTTATTACAACGTTTCGGCCGTTGTATGCTCCGTCTTTCTTCAAGTGGTTGGAATGCTAGGCCATAAAAATCTCCTGAGCCGACCAAGCATAGAAATGAATACAATATGGCAACCAGTAATAAGGAGTGCCAGAGAAAAGCGATAATAACAACAAAAATTGCAATATGAGCTCTGGTAAAAACATGATGTGATAACAGCAAAAATTGCAACATGAGCACTGGTAAAAAATCTTGCTGAAGACGTTAGGTTTATAATACCCAGAAATTCATACACAGATGTCCTCAAGGACACATGGTACAGTTAGATCCAGTGACAGAACCCAAAGAGTGTGTGTTCAATACCCGGTTAAGGCAGTGGGGAACTTTCAGAGGGGAATTAACAGGGGATAACTGATAACTGACATCCATTAAACATGGCACGTGGAACTAGAACAGTGAGCAAAATAAAGGGTTCAGTTCGACATTCCAACCACCTGAAGAAGGCCGGAGCGTATAACGGCCGAAACGTTGTAATAAATATGACGACAAAGATGAGGACAACATTCCGAACAATTTAAACAGTATATATATATATATATATATATATATATATATATATACTTGTACAGAACCAACTACACTTTTTGGATGAGCCGAATACAGAGAACTGATGCACAGTGTGCGACAAGGTCCCCAAGTGAACCTGCGTAGGTTTTAAATTCATGGTTGTCCTTCTCCTAGATCGTTCGCCACGCAAGGCTATCGGACCCAAACTGACCTGCCGTTTACCCAAAGTTTCGGGGAGAAGAGATCAGTTCATGCCTTTACCAAGGGCATTAACACGTAATTGAATCTCATGAACTCCATATTGGAGAAATTGTATGACAAGTGGAAAAAATTACTTGTGAAGCGTTTCGTCCTTCAGGACTTCATCGAAGTAAATGTTATGCTGGTAGGACTACACATGCGCATAGCAGAGGGATGCTGGGAATTTTTTTTCATCTAGCCGAATCTAGCTATAATCTTTTTCTTTTCTTTCCATCACTTTTGATAGTAGGTATCTCACACTGTGATAATAGATTTGCCAGGAATGGTGAAATGTTGTAAAACCAGGGCGCAAATTTAGTCTAGATGACCTTGCTATCAAGGTACTCTCGAGATATTTGCGTCGTAGTGAATTATTTCTCCTTTAATCAGAGTAACATTTTTATGTTAAAATTGTGGTCAGTCTCGTTACGGTGGGCAACCAACTCATTTGACGTATTATTTTGTAAAATGTCCCTTTTGTGTTCATATAATATTTAGTAGGAATAAATTTTATGTTGAGTTTAGATAGTTGTAGATGTGATATAATAAGTAGGCAGGATAATATAGTCGTACCAACATAAATTTATTTCGATGAAACCCTGAAGGACAAAACGCGTCACAAGTAAAAAATTTTTCCAATATGTCAAACAATTTCCCCAATACTGTTTTTGGTATATAAAATATATCGTTATCTGATATGTAGTGTGGGATTGTAAACAGTGACTATTATGGCTGATATAGCGAGACTCTTCGACACAAGGGAATTGTCCTGTCGGTCACTGTGTGTTTATCTAAAAATAAATACGCTAAAATTTATCTTCATCGATGGCTTAGTGGTAGAATCTCCGACTGACGCCAATTCAGTCTGGTTTTTAATCCTAGCTAGAGGCAACTGGACGTCTAGCCACACTGAAGAGCTGCGAAAAAAGTCTGTTCTGTGAATGACATTATATATATATATATATATATATATATATATATATATATATATATATATATATATATATATGCGTCAATATTCTCAGAATGCGTGTAACTGGCTAGAAGAGACAAAATCAGCCAACGCGTATCAACATCTGACGGACTTTATCAGGGCAAATGTAATGATTTTATTTTTGCAACAAGTATCAATAAAAATCTAAAGTTTTGATGTTAAAATACTCAGAAGTTTTATTTTGCAACAAGTATCTATAAACAAAGCAAAATAGTGTTAGTCAAAATTTTTAAATTAAAAGACGCTCATAAATAATCATCAGGTTAACTGAAATGTTTTGGTATTAGACATTAAATTACGTCATTTGTATAAAGTAAATTTCCAAAATGCAGAATTTCCATGTAGAAATTTAAAAAAAAAATGTTTTCCCAAGCTAATATACACCTCAGATATCTTGAAAAATCAAAAGAAAACGGCTAAATTTATCATTTCAGCCTTTGAAGGCGTATAACACAAACATCCGTCTCCTATCATAAGAATTAAATCGTTTCGAGGATGCTAGGTGACGTAATTTAATGTTTACTACCGAAACATTTCAGTTAAACTGATGAATATTTATGAGCGTCTTTTAATTTAAAAGTTCTGAGTAACTAACAAGATTTTGCTTTTGTTTATAGATACTTGTAAAATAAAATCATTACATTGGCCGAGATAAAATCCGTCAGATAACGATACGTGTCGCCTAAGTATAATGTTTCCTCTTGTCTTTTTTGTTTATATATATATATATATATATATATATATATATACATTTTTTCCACACACACACACACACACACACACACACACACACACACACACACACACATATATATATATATATATATATATATTTATCAAGACTACACATGAGGACACACGAGATGTAAGATTTTAGATTTAATTTTCTTTTAATTTAATTTTCATTTAGATTCTTTTATCTTTTTGTTTATGTTTCCGTCACTTTTTTAAAATCAAATGTCGCACATTGTGATAATAGAAGATCTGCCAAGAATGGTTAAACATTGCAAGAATCAAGATGCAACTTTACTGTGGAGGATCTAATGATTAAGCCACTTAATAAACATTTCTAAATATTATATATATATATATATATATATATATATATGAAGAAATATAGTGTTATGGTGTGCTATATTTATGGGATAAAGTGCTCAATATTAGAGACAGAGCCGATGTAAATATAAATATAAAATTGAACATTGAAGTATCAAAATTAGAGGCGACAGGCTGTTTCATGCTAGACACGATCTTCAGGCGGCTTGAAAATTGCGTTTAGCATGAAAAATCCTGTCGCCTCTGCGTGTTGACTTCAATGGTCACTTTGATATCTATCTATCTATCTATCTATCTATCTATCTATCTATCTATATATATATATCTTGAGAGTTACTAAAATGGAATTCCGTTGAATTGGAGGATTATAATAACTGGGACACCCGGAAAATGCATCTAACGTGAAATTAGAACAATCGACCTCGTGGGGAGAAGGAAATAAAGGGTTCGGTTCGAAGTTCCAATCACCTGAAGAAGGCTGGAGCGTACAACGACCGAAACGTTGTCAATATGGCAATAGAGATGAGGATAACAGTCCGAATAGTGTAAATAATGTAAATAATCATAATACCTCATCTCAGAGATATAGACAGATATTGAAGGCATGACACGTGGAACTATAAACACTCTACACCGATGGACTAAATAAAAGGGCGGATTCGAAATTCGAATCATCTGATGAAGGCCGGTACGTACAACGGCCGAAATGTTGTTTATATGTCAATGAAGATGAAGATAACACTCCGAATAGTGTAAATAGTGTTAATAATTATAGTACCTCATCTCAAAGATATAGACAGATATCAGTCCGTATTGATATATGTCTGTTATTAGATATTATTATTATATGCTATATATTATATATTATCAATGATATATTATGATTTTATATATTAATATACATGTGTCTATGTGTAAACATCGGTCGTTTTTTGTGTCAAAATGTTGGCTCGTTATTTGAGTCTCTAGGAAACATTTATCAGTTTTATACTTGAGGCTATGGGTAGTTTTATACTTGAGGCTATTGCTCGAATCTACACTCGAGTCAGCAGCAAGTCATTGGTCGGGTCGATACTTGAGTACATAGGTAAATATTGATCGAATTCAGATTTTATTCTATATATTGTTTGTCGATAACTGATTCCACAAGCATCAACCAGTTGTTTGTTACTTTTTAAAATCATTTATCTCCGAACAAGGCAAGAAAGCCACTAAGATGCAAGCAGGTTACGGAGTGTGAAAGAATATGAATAAAAGAGAAACGCTATTAAGGAGAGAGAACAATAAAATAAAAGGAATTAAGAAGACAGACTATATTTGAATATCAAAGATGGCAGCAAAGAAAGAAGTCGGAAGAGAATTCCACAGGCGAGGAGTGCGAGAAAAGAAACTGTTAGCATAGAACTTATGGTTATATTTAGCCATTTCGACTGTAATTTGAGATCTTGCCGACAATGGAGTTCAAAGCTTAAATTCATGACCTGTAGGTAACATAGAGGAAAGATCACCAAAACAATTAATATGAAAGTATTTATAGAAAAGGCAAGGGGAAGTTATTTTATGACGGTCAGAAATAACTGAAGCCGAGATGCCATGTCAGGACCAATGACATTACTGATTCTTCTTTGGATATTATTAAGAATCACTAAAAACAAAAAAATATGGAGAGAGTTCCACAAGCTAGAAGTGCGAGAGAAAGTACCATTAACGTAGAACTTACGGTTACATCTAGCTATTTCAACTGTTATAGCGGAGATATTTCTCCTCTACAGTCAATATATTCTAGACTTCACTGAAGGAATCAAAATGGAATCTTTGAACCAAGCTTGGTATATACATTGCAATGGAAAAATATGTGGGGATAGTTCTTTTCCATGTTCGATCTCCATGATACCTTACCGAAGTGTCTTGTCACTGTCATGTCATGATATTTCAGGGAGAACACTTATGTAATCAACCTTTTCCTAATTTCCTGGTTAGATCAAAAGAACAATAAACCTGTGAAGAGTTGTGAATTTAGACAATTGTCAGCCATAATCTTTGAATCTGAATTTAAATGAGACTCGTAGAAAGAGCAAAAGAAAAAGAACCTAATTAAATTGTCAGAACATTGGATTTTTAATATGCTTTCCTGTTTTCTCCTGCTTCTATGTCTTCGCCACAATTTCCTGCCATTTATAGCTTTTGATATTATTTTTTTCTTATCTCTCCTAAACCCTGTTCTGCCATCCATTTACTCAAACTCATTCTTCTTCTATGTGCCATGTCCCTTCAGGACGTTGATGATCATGGCTCTCCACAATTTCCTGTCCTTTGCAGCTCTTGATAAATTTTATCTTTTTCTTATCTCTCCTAAACCTTGTTCTGCCATCCATTTACTCAAACTTATTCTTCTTCTATGTGCAATGTCCCTTCAGGGCGTTGGTGATCATGGCTCTCCACGATTTCCTGTCCTTTGTAGCTTTTGATAAATTTTGTCTTTTTGTCAACTCTCCTAAACATTGTTCTGCCATTTATTTACACAAGTTTGCTCGGTAGGTAATGAATTCCTTTTCTCTGTCCCTTTCGGATGTTAAGTATAAGTATCCTTTCTTCTTCTTCTTCTTCTTCTTCTTCTTCTTCTTCTTCTTCTTCTTCTTCTTCTCCTCCTCCTTCTCCCCCTCTTTTTCTTCTTCTTCTTCTTCTCCTCCCCCTCTTCTTCTTCTACTTTTTTCTTCTTCTTCTCCACCACCACCACCTCCTCCTCCTCCTCTTCTTCTTCTTGGAGCTTTTTCTAAATTTGTCGTATTGTTATCTCTCCTAAATCTTTTTGCCTCATCATGTGCGCTAGAAATTTCAATTGTTTCTTTGTGATGTTAATTATTTGTGATTCGATTTACTCTAAAACTTCGTCGCTGCTCCCATGTTCGGTCCATGATATTCTCAGCATCCTTCTGTAGAACTGCATTTCTGTTGCTTCAGGTCTCCTCTTCATCTGTGAGGAAATTGTTCAGTATCCATTGACATATAGGAGGGCTGATAGTATTAACAGTTCAGCACCCTCGTCTTAGTTTCTAACAAGATTCTCCTGTTTCTTAATACTTTGCTTAGCTTCGGGAAGGCACCTTTTGCCATCCCTACGTGTCTTCTGATTTCAGTGCCGCGATTTCCGTCCTCTGTTAAAAAGATTCCCCAGGTATTTCAATTGTTGTACTTGTTTGATTTTGGTATCACTAATTTGCAATTTGCATGTTAGGCTGTTCCTTTAGTTAACAATCATGCATTCTGCCTTGCAATTGATGATTAGACTTTTCTTCGCGCATTCCCTCACTCCCTCTGCAGAAGCTTGTACTTACCTTTTTAAGTCTGCTATGAAAGATATTTAATAACAATTAAATAAAGATGATTATGCCAGATTATTCTACGAGCCTTACTGATAAAATGTAATCTAGTACTACCTGAGGAATAGTCGGGTCATAAACAACTAAACCCGATTCCTTTCGTAGGCTTTTCTGGTGAGGATAGTGGCTAGACGTCTAGGAGCTAAAAGCTAGTCGGGGCTAAAAGGAAGTTTAATATGCTTCAGGTAAACAGCGCACCAGTTACATGACGTGGAAGGTGAACAAACTTTGTTCCTTAGATCAACGATTTAAAAGTACACGCATAAATACGGCTTTGAGCCAAATAGCATTCACGTGGGCGAACTGCTAAAATGCTACCGCTATATCGATTTCAATATGGAATATATTTGTTATTCAGCAATTAGTTTAACCACACTGTATATATATGTATATATATGTATATATATATATATATATATATATATATATATATAAAAATATAAACACACACACACATATATATATATAAAAAGTGAACAAAGAAGAAAAACACTTAGAGGCGACAGTCTGTTTCATGCTAGATGCAATCAGTCCACACACACACACACTCTCACACACACACACACACACACACACACACACACACACATATATATATATATATATATATATATATATATGTAGTGTTGAGCACTTTCTCTTTCCAGTGTGCATTTATGGCAGACACTTTTAAAAAAGCAGCTTATTTCTATTAATATATATATATATATATATATATATATATATATATATATATATATATATATATATATATATGTGTGTGTGTGTGTGTGTGTGTATATATAGAATTATCAATGATTTTTTTTTAATATATGTATCTAGTGTTATAGTATTTTCTTTATTTGTGGAGGAGATATATATATATATATATATATATATATATATATATATATATATATATATATATATATATATATATAGTGTTGAGCTTTCTCTTTCCAGTGTGCATTTATGGCAGACACTTTTAAAAAGCAGCTTATTTCTATTAATATATATATATATATATATATATATATATATATATATATATATGTGTGTGTGTGTGTGTATGTATATATAGAATTATCAATGATTTTTATTTTAATATATGTATCTAGTGTTATAGTATTTTCTTTATTTGTGGAGGAGATTATATATATATATATATATATATATATATATATATATATATATATATATATATATATATATATATATATATATATATATATATATATATATATATATATATATATATAAATATGAAACTAAACGAGAAGATATTGATTCGCAGAAATCCTAGAGGGAAAAAGGTATTTTCATTTATAACGTTATACAAAACTTTCCCGTTCAGTCGGGTTCTGTGGTCGACATGGTAAAGGCACAAATTGGAGCGGAAAAGTGTTTTCTCAGATTGGAAAAAAGGAATGCAGGTTCGATTCCCGCCGGAGACTCACTTTTCTTTAATAGGTTATTTGAGACAATATATATAAGTGCTCAATATTAGAGACAGAGCGTGTGTAAATATAGGCGATTGCGTCTCGCATAAAACAGGCTGTCGCCTCTAAGTGTTGACTTCAATATATATATATATATATATGCATAAATTTCCAAGAGGATAGAATCCAGGTAGAACTCAATGTCCAGGACAGAGGAAGAATATAATATAAAAGGCTCAAACACAAATATTCCATGGTTATAATTTATTACATTGGAATCGTAATCCCGATCCAATTCATCAATCCTATAAATTCAAAAAGCTTTTTGAATTTGTAGATCTGTTGATTTGGATCGGGATGACGATAATTTATAAGCATGTAATATTAGTGTTTGAGCCTTATATATATATATATATATATATATATAGGGAGGTACATAAAAATGAAGATATCTCTCTCAGTTCTTATATGTTTACCTATTTGTTTCTGTTTCTGTCAATCTCCTCATATCTCTTTTTCTCTTTGTTCATATCTAAGTCAGTTTACAGTATTTGTATCTGTCAGTCAATATCTATCTATCATCTATCTATCTATCTATCTATCTATCTATCTATCTATCTATCCCAGTCTCTTCATATCTATCTATCTATCTATCTATCTATCTATCTATCTATCTATCTATCTATGTCGATGTTTATCACCAAGTTCCCATATTGACATAGAGGTGACCCCCTTTCTTTCCCTCTCGCTCTATATTTATCTCTCTGTTGATCAATGTGAATATTTATCGAAATATTTTTCGCGTATAAACAAGGGACTGCATTCATTATGGCGAATCGTCCTACACACACACAGACACACACACGGACATCCTAGACACAGATGAACACACATAGACACATATGCATATACCCACGTACACCCACGCGTAATATAAAGAACTTTTCCCCATTCTACAGCAATCCAGAACCAACCGTTGGTATGGGACCCTCCTCTGCACAGGGCAACGAATACAGCAGACCCCAAATAATACTCCGAACGAGCGAACGATCGAAAAACATTGTTATGATGATGTCAATCGCGTTCGACGCCATGTTGTTGTTTATGGTCCCGTCTTTCTTGGGATATTAGCGGAGGGGAGTCGAGTGGCGGTGGAGGCTGGGGCGATGCTGATAGGGATGGTTGTGGAGGAGGAAGAAGGCGGTGGGAAGGACTCAATACCGGCTTTGCTTATCACCTCCCCTCTTCTTCACTTCCGATCTGCCTCCGCCTAAGCCACCATTTGATAAATACGGAAGTAGGAGGAGAGAAGAGTGAGAAGCCAAAGGATCTGAGAGGGTGGAGAGAGGGTGCGGTTGTTAATGTTCATGAAGAAAGGTGGTGCTCTGGTGGGGATGTTGTTGTGAATTGATTTGAAACAGTCGGGAAATAGGAGAATGGACCCAACGTAATAAGGTCTGGAGAAAGAAAAGGCGGTTAAATTTTGGCGCGAACTCGGAATCTTCATGACGATGACGGAATGGTTGGATGGTTGAAAGAAGAAACGGAGAATAAAGTAAAGCTTATCTATGTATTTCGGAGAGTTATGAATACCTAATTGTAAAGATACAGGTGTCACCATCTATCTATCTCTGTCTGCTCACATCCATCTATCTATCTATCTATCTATCTATCTATCTATCTATCTATCTATTCATCTATCTATCTATCTATCTATCTTATATTATTTATTGCTTTTTAGCTGTTGTCATCATAATCTTCTGGCCAATGCATTATCTAGCCATCTGCAGATGTCAACCGTGAGAAAAACAAACTTTCTCCTTGAACAACTGATTGTTCTTTAATATATCCGTCGAGCGGTTCGAATCTAAAAAGATATACTCAACATTAATCAATCAACTTGGCCGTCTGCCATTTGCACTTTCTCCGCCCTCAAATACGGATTTGGCCAAATTTCAGGAAAAGATGATGAGAAGTGGCAGGTGGTAGGTAAAGATTTTCAGAAATTGCGACACGTCACTCATTGCTAGCATCCAGACCCCGTAACCTGTAATACACTGAGAGTCACCGAGGTGATCCTCTACACAAATAAGCCAAGAATGTTGCATTTGAAGCATTAGCTGCCCAGGTGAGTTGAAACGAAAGCTTTGATTATTTTTATAAAAGAAAAAAAAATAAGGACCCGATGAGATAAACTAGAGACAACGGCCTTGTCAGCCACAAAATACATTCCGAAGCACAAGCTCTCGCTATTTCGCCCAATGTGTCATGTCTTTTCAGACCGTTGGTGAACATGGCTCTCCACAACTTCCTGTCTCTTGTTAAAATCATCTCCCTCTAAATCATACATTTTCTTCTCACACTATGAATTCTCTTAATGTCGTAAATCCGCCATTTTTATTATCAGCTCAATTCGAACCAGGAAAATGACAGAATAGTTCTCCCGAGTAAATTACAAAAACTATAAAGAATCAACAAGAAATATAAACAGAAGATGAAAAAATGTCTGCTAAATATTTTATATATATATATATATATATATATATATATATATATATATATATACATGGAATATTATCTCTGATAGTGAGCAATTTATCCCATAAATATAGCACTCCTTAAAACTATATTTCTTCATATAGGAAGTGTGGGTTTGTAAACAGTGACTATTACTGCTAATAATGCAAGACTCTTCTGTAAATCGAATCGAGTTCTCTTAGTCACTGTGTGTTTATCTAAAAATAAATACGCTTAAATTCACCTTCAACCTGCCGTGTGCCAACGGCTTAGTGGTAGAATATCCCGACTGAATTGGCGTCAGTCGGGTTTCAATCCTTGTTAGAGGCAACTGGACGTCTATCCACTCTGATGAGCTGTGATACAGCGAAACAATCTGTCTGTGGATGACAATATATATGTATATGTAGGAAGGAATATATATATGTATTTATAAATAATTTAGAATTAATATATATATATATATATATATATATTAATAAATGAATAAAGATATACAACCAAAGAAAATTTGCCCAGAAATTATTAGATTTTTTTGTTAATCCGAAAAAAAATGATTTATTGTTTATAAATTCCTAAGAAACAAAATGGCAGCTTTGGACTCACACAACGAATTCAATTTGTCGATTCCAGTGACAGATTTCAACAACCCCTAAATTAAAACATATTTTATTGATATATATATATGATATATTATAATTATTGTTTTACACAAAAAATTAAATGCGTTAAGAAATCACATATAAAATTTTTAGATTTTATGCATTTTCTTTCCGGTTGCACTATACACAGGTGAATTTTTATGGGGGGTTAAAATCATGCATTTTGTAATTTAAAATGATTAGGACTGCATTCAACAGTACCTTGGGAAAGGTAATTTAAATTTCATGAACGAAAACAAAAATTACGGTATCTGAATTTTGGTAAGTGGTTTCTCTTATCATTTTGAATTAGCTTTGTACGTTAGGAATGAAGATCATTTATTTGCTATAAAATATGCACACTACGACAATATTTAACTCCGGAGGGCTACTAGCATTGATCAGAGTCTGGGGTCCTATTATACACGATCTATACACGATCTATATGAAAAAAATCAGGCTTTTCACAAAAAATTTCACTACGCATGAAGTAGGCTTATATGAGATTATATACGGTAAACGATTGAAACAATAATGGCCAAGGAAGGACCCAGTCGTTATTAACTGTTGTGGTGTCCTCCCTCTAATGAGGCTGTTGTGGATTCTTCCACTTGCTATAAAATTAGCACGAGAGCAAAATATTTTTTATCAAAAAAGAGGTTGATGCAAAACCGTTCAACCTGAAAACTACTTGATTTTTCGGCGGAGAGGAACCCGACGAAGATTTGCCGAAGGTTTTACAGACCCAGAACCAGTTTATAAAGGTTCTAAACAAATATTTTTTATTCGAATAATAATTATACCTACGGTTAACAGTGAAGTTAAACTGTTCGTTTTCGAACCTCTGCCTTGACGCAAAGAATAGAACCTGGGCGAGGCTTTGCCGAAAAAAATAAATTTTATTCTGGGAGGTAGACAGAAATGAAAAAACGAGTTTATTCCCGGGTTCTAAAAATGTTTTAGGCCAAGAACGCCGGACACGGAGAACCCACGGTAAAATTTTTAAACATATATAACATATTATATATCTCAGGGGAAATGAAAACAGTGCTCCAATTTTTAGTATGTCGAACACTCTTTATCTTGAGCATAAAAAATCGTCTTATCTAGATAGCATGGTGAAGAATTTATCGTCATTTATTAAGGACGCGGATGTATTTTTATTGTCTTAATGAGAAAAGAGTGACATCGAGTACAAAATGTTAGTTTGGTATCGATTAATGTGACCTTTTGTACGTATTAGATTATATATATTAGTTGTAAAATGAGTTTATTCAACTACTCTTAGATGAAAGGTTGATTATTGATATTAGATTCAAACTAATTGGTATTTTTGGTGGGAATCACACACTACAAAAATATATCCCGTCCTGGGTAAGACGATAAACTACATCCGGTAGCAAGGCCTTTGATCAGTAGGTTTTGAGAATCTTCTTTTGTTGGTGTTCCCATGTACACCCTGGGTCCCAGCTATGGGCAAATATTTAACCTCCCAAAAGTTGTTAAAACACCATGAAAGTATAAAAATAGGTTTTAATACCAGAAGTACATTTTTGAAAATAAATATAAGCAATATATTTTTTATAATAAATTAACAATACCAACAATATTTTTTTGAAAAAAATTATTGACTATATTTAAAAAAAAAAATTATATAATAAAAAAAATCTTGTCGGCCTTTATAACCCATTGAGGTATTGATATTGATAAATCTAACCAAATCATACCAAGGATATATCAAATTTCAGACAGTGGATATTATAAAATTGCTAAGTAGAGAAGTAAAAAATTCAACAAATTATATCCTTAGAACAAAATGAAATTTATTATGATATTAAAATTATATTTTGATTGATATTAATATTAATTCATTTAACCCATTTTTTTCAATGGAGGAAAAAGAATTTGAGTGTTGAAATAAAGACGTTAATCTTGATCCATTATTAGGTTAAGACGTTAAACTATATATATAGGTCAATATATATTTATATATAAATGGCATATTTTTAATGTAATGGATAGCGGCTTAATTGAAATAATCGGACTCCAATTCCAGTCGAATCCATTATTTCAAGATCAAATAGCCTTGGGAAAGTTTATGTATCCTATGGAATTTCAGGCTATGGGTAAATAACAGGACAGACTATATTTATAGCCATTGGATGGCAACTGGTCAAGGAGAAGGACAACTAAGAATTCAAAAAATATTAAGGGTCGTTTGGGGACCTTTTGGCACAGTGCAAAAGGTCTTTTGTATTCGGCCCCTTTCAAAGTGTGGATGGTCCTGCACGTAACCTTCACCACTATAATCAAATATGTGCCGGTGTCGGATTACTGTAGTTTCCTGAAAATGATCTGTTTGACCCTCATACCTCAGAATTTGACAGGATATAAATTGAGTATATATATATATATATATATATATATATATATATATATATATATAAGCAAATATATGGATATAAATCCGACAGTATAAAAGAAAAATACAGAAAAAAAAAAAATCTGAATATGCATTTATGTAGTATTAATGTTAAAATAAAGTCGACGTCGGACGTTTCGGTCATTTTTGGATTTGCCTTGTAACGGGAAGGACTTCAAGCTTGTTGAAGATATAAGAACCAATTGATCACTACGTATTCCGACATCAACGGAAGAGATTTCTTGAACTGTTTATAAAAAATTTTCAATCGACTTTTTAATATTTTAATTTTGTGGAAATCATCTTCGAATACGTTTTAACAACATCGCCCACGTGACGACTACGTGATCATATTTAAACAGAACGCTGATCTGTATAAAATTTCAGTTATCTGTTTGAATTAGTTGGGCTCTTATGTCCATCGTCTTTTGTGTTAAATTTTTATAAGTTATAATGTTATATTATGTTTAAATGAAAATGTCCATGAAGATGGTCTTAAATAGACCGAAACGTCCGACGTCGACTATATTTTAACATTAATACTACTTAAATGCATATTCAGATTTTTGTTTTTTCTGTATTTTTCTTTCATATATATATATATATATATATATATACCGGGTGTAACAGCAAAATTGTCCAAATCCTGTAAAAGTATAATTGTCCACCTTACAAAGTGTTTAAAATCTAAAAGCCCCACTAAACTGCGTTTCTTTTTTCCAGGTTTCCAGTTAAGACATTTAGCCATCTTCACACCATTGGTCATAAAAATCACTGGAAAAAATCCTTGGAGTTATTCAACTAGAAAGTGAACAGGTATAAATCGTTTTGTGTCAGGCCCTCTATCTTCCCAAATAAGCAATGGTGAGAGGAGAAAGTTCATTCTGGTCTTCAGTAATTGTACCAGCCTTCATACTTTGGCTTCCATCTTCAAAGTCCATTCAAGAACCATCAAAAGAGCAGTGAATAAGTTTTTAAAAAAGAAGGAACAGTAGAGAGGAAAACTTGATCAGAAGGTCACAATAGGAAGAGGGATCATCATTTCAACTTAGAGCTAAATACATTTATATTGTTCAAAGTAGAGTCCAATAGTGTTATAAACACCTCGGAGAATTCCAGTAAGATATCTTTAATCATTTCTAAGGTAGAACGGTTCAAAGCTTAATCTAACAATTGGAAAAATTGAAAAATACACCCAATACATATATATATATATATATATATATATATATATATATATATATATATATAGAGAGAGAGAGAGAGAGAGAGAGAGACTTGGGTAGTCTAGAACTCTAAAGTCAAAATTCTGTATTCGGGTCTTCCAAAAAGTGTGGTTTGTTCTGCAACCCTTCGCGAATAATAATCAAATTGATCATGTCCGAGTAGTTTGGCTTTTAGACCAAAGAACTGAGCTGCTTGACCCTCACTTTGACGGGAGCGTCCAGTATGTATATATATATATATATATATATAGGTGCGCGGGTATGTAGAAAATAGAAAAGAACACGTTGGGTGTATAATCCGGAGTTCCTTAGTGTTTTTGTTTTTAAGAAGACAGTGCTCCATTCAGAAGTAGAGCTTTATTATAATAATAAAATTTTTTGTTTAAAAAATATAATTCCTTCATGAAGGAATCATATTTTAAACATATATATATATATATATATATATATATATATATATATATATATATATATATATATATATATATATATATATTACTTCCTGTATAGTTAACTTTAATACTTAATAACTTATTTATATTCGGACTATTCTCCTTATCTTTGTTGTTGTTATCACAACGTTTCAGCCGTTGTGTCCCCGGGTTTTCCTCCGAGTAAGCTACAGTGAATTCTGAACTGAACCCTTTATTTCATCTACGGGGATACACTCTTCTTCCACGGCCTTCCGCTGTATAGGGACAGCTGTCTCGTCTCGTTTTTATTTGTAGTACTGCTCAGTTACTGCTCACCCGTTGGAGTGCAAGTATACACTGCTCGTCCAAGGGATTGAACTGACAACCACCATGTCACCAAAATTAAGAAACTACGAAACGATGGCCTATTAGATTAAAGCGTTGGTTCATGAATTTGGTGAAGAATTTGCTGAGTGGACTTATGGAGGTCATCGTGAACGAGAGTTGAACATTTTTGGTCATAATGTTAATCACAACAGATTGAACACAGCCACCGGCAGCTTTTGAACAGCTACGAGTACCTAGTTTCACCCACAAGCCATGGTATGGTTTTAAGGCATTCCCTTAGGGTACCACACGCAGGTCTATCTATCTATCTATCTATCTATCTAACTATCTATCTATCTATCTCAGTCTCTTCATATCTATCTATCTATCTATCTATCTATCTATCTATCTATCTATCTATCTATCTATGTTATTATAGACAGATCTATCTATCTATCTATCTATCTATCTATCTATCTATCCCAGTCTCTTCATATCTATCTATCTATCTATCTATCTATCTATCTATCTATCTATCTATCTATCTATCTATCTATCTCAGTCAATTGAGATCTATCTATTAAACTAAATCAATATAGTGTATGTTACTTGAGACAACGCTGACGTCATACAAGCCTATTTATGTCTCCTGTCTCTACGGTAGTAGCGTTGAAAAAAATGCTCGGTTTAGCATGGTATGTTCACAGGAGTACATGCGAACCAACGACAAAACTGCCCAGTTTAAAAATAAAAACTGATATCATATAGGTGTCAGAAAATATTTTGAACCACATTGAATCCAATTTATACCGTAAACTTGCGCCACGTCCCCCAAAATGAGAAAAATTGCGAGAATGAATATATGATAATACGCCCTGATCATGACCAAAATCCTTGACATTGATCAACACATCTATATTAATATGGAGTACATTACATGTTGTAAATAAATATTTGGGGATATTAGAAGCAATTCTAATTAAAAAAAAACAACAATCCATTCCTCAATAGCTCCTTGAATGAGTTGAAACGTTCTGGTCGAGTTCTTAAGTAAACAGAGATTCCAATATGACTAAAATTAGGACTACAAAAGTGACTATTAGAATAAATAATTATATTAATAATGAGATCTACGAAAGTGACTCTTAAACAACATCATATAAGAAAGTAACATAAGCAAAATATATTAATAATCTACGATACCATGAAAATTAAACTATCTTAGAAACTTACTAAATTAGTCGGAGTTAACTCCTCCTTAATTTTCTAATTGTCCATATTGTTCTTAGGGGACGCTTTCCCTAAACTATAAATACTTGAGAATATTTCGTTCTCTCTCTCTTTTTTTTCCACTTTTCAGCAGACACACTTGAAAAATGTGATTTCTCGTGGAGATACGCGTTTCCCACTTGTGGGAAGACGACTGGAACATTATGCACACACACACACACACACACACACACACACACACACACACACACACACACACACACGTATGTACGAACATACTTTGAAACACGATCTCTTTACGTTCATGCACAAACACACGTTAATGTTTTCGTCTTTTGTAAACCCTTTTTGTTGTTTAATACATATAACTGTTTGTACAGGTATATTTGGTTCTTGGTTGTTTTCTTTTACATTTCTTTCGGCTGGACTCATCTTGAGTCCGCCATATTTGTAGTGGACTTTATTTCAGGAGACCACACGTGTTCATATCACAACGCGTAAAAAAAAAATAAAAAGAAATTGACCACGGTCCGTATTTGTTGAAAGCGTCCGGGAAAATAAACACGAATGACAATTATGGTTAGTGTAACTGATATCGGCGAAGAAAGGGAAACTGGAGTACCAAGTTCGAATTCAAACCTTGTCAGCTGCGTTCCATTTCGCATTAATGCTCTTGGAAATTTACCGAATGAATTTTTTTTTTGCTCACCGAATATAAGTTAAATAAAAGGATAGACGTATCAGGGAAAAGAAAGACCACGTGAAACTACTCTATATTTTTATAAGTCGTCGTAATTCACAGATAATAAAGAAAAATAACTCTGTTTAAGGAAAGTGGCTCTTTGGAGAGTCATGGTCACGTGCAACATGAAGGGCCAGAGAGAATGAAATTTGCATATTGATCAGTGGTTATCTACCCTGATATCTACCGGAAATCTCATTTACTATATTTTTTTTACCTCTACAGATTAAACATGGTTTTTGCCGAAAGAAGAAAGAATTCTTTTCTTTTCCTGGGGTATGTTAAAAGAGAACGTGTACTCAATGAAAATAACAGATGCAACGCACTTGATTAAAAGCATAAAGACTGAATGGGATAAAATTGACAGCAATCTTATAGCAGGCGGAAGAGTCCAAAATAGATTCTTTAGAGAGAGGACACCACAACAGTGCTATAATTGACGTTGGCAGTTGAACAATCTGGTCGACTGTTATATTTAACAGCCCCCCACCCCAACGAGGGATGTATGTGGCACAAGGCCTGCATCGAATCGACTGTTCTCCCAAGGCCTTCTCTCCTGCTAATCTTATAGTAGTCAGAAGAGTCCAATATAGAAACAGTGCTATAATTGACGTCAATGTGGAGTTATTGCATCGAGTCTACGTGAATCTTGCAAAGCGCACAAACCTTTGCATCATAAATGATGGAAATCAAATTGAATATGCTATTTGTTGATATTCCAAAAATATTGTCGAAAATTTCATTTCTTGAAAATATGCATTTTTGTCTATGTGTCCCGACTCTGTATATCTGAATTAGTGCTATCGTTGATTTTAAAATTCCTTACTTACTTGTAGATCCCCTTATTTTTGGGGGAATATTTTCTGATGTAGGCATTTACTTTAGGCAGTTCGGTTGGCGTTTTCGTCTTTCATCCTGCATTTTATCATTCAGTTTTTCCGTCAACCATTGGCACAGCCACAGCGCTTAACGTACGCCATCTTCAGTTTTTCTTTCTTGTAAATAACGTAACAGTTTCACTCGAGTTTATTTAAATGTCTTTTGGAAGCTTCATCAAAGACCTTAAGCTCGGTAAATCTTCAATGTCAAAGGAGAAGGACGAGAAACAGACAACAGGTGTTTACATTGAACTGTCTTTATTAAAACTAGTCTGCGGATTTTATCAGATTTCAACAGTTTTTAAATAGCGACTTAAAAACAAGTCTTGCATATTTAAGTACCATTAGCGAAGTGATACTATGAATAGTTGTAGACAGACACCTGAGATGAGTCTACGAATATCCTGGATGTTAGAAAGATAAGATAAGTCTGTCACGAGGCCAAGACTCAGATAGATAGAAACAGACAGAGATAGATAGATAGATAGATAGATAGATAGATAGATAGATAGATACACTATTTATATAATTCGAATTGTTGTCCTCATCTTAATTGCCATATTCACGAAGTTTTGGATGTTGTACGCTCCGGCCTTCTTCAAGTTATATACTTTGGAATTTAAGAACGTGCATACATGTAGTTGAAAGACTAACTGAAATCAACATAAATATCATCAAATATCTCCTTTCCTAAAAGAAATACTCCCTTTCCAAGCTAACATACATGAATATAAAGCTGTTAAAAAATTAAAAGAAAAACAGTTAAATTCATAACCATCTATGATTTAAAATATGTAATAGATAAATTTATTTTAAACTAAAATAATATAAATACTAACTTCATTTAAAAAAAACAACAACAAGAACAACAGTAACTTCAGCCATTTATGTGCCATATGTGATACACGCTTAGACGATCATGTATCTTTCGATACATGACTGACTGACGAGGCAGATTTTTTTCCTTTTCTGCGGTAGACGAGTGTCCGGGCAGACCTGGTTCTATAGCCTTGGATGGCTATAGAACCCGGTCTGTCCTGCTATTTACCCATAGCTGTGGGGAGGGAGAGAAGAAGAGGATTCATACCTTTTCCAAGGGTATTAGTACGTAATTACGCTATGCATCACTCTACTTACTTTCATTTATTAGGTATTAAATTATATCACTTAGCTTCTTCCATAATTTGCCTTGAATTTCACTTGAAGTGCATTTATTAGCGTTCATAGATTTAAATATTTTTGAGAAAAATAACTATTATTTTTACTTCTGCTTCTAAAAAACTTTTTTGCAAAATAAAATCCTTAGATTTGCCTTCACAGTATCCATTAAAGAACGAAACGCGTCGCTTAAGATAAGTTTTCCTTCTTTCTTTATTCACACACACACACACACACACACACATATATATATATATATATATATACGCGTGTGTGTATAATTGACTAAAAATATTCTTTCATGAATATAGGTTCTTGCCAATTATATTCTAGAATTGACGTGTTCTGTGCTTAAAATATGAAAATGAAATAAAATAAAAATAATTGCGGTTTATTCGTGAAAGAAGACATTTAAGGCTTCCAAATATGACTGGAAATATTTTAATGACTTGTAAATTAGTCCTATTTACCATGTTACTGTCTTCTCTGCCAAAAGATTCATTAAAGATTTCTTGTTTACAATCGAATATCCATTTTATAGATACGCCAACATGTACCTTTCTAGAATGTTTTTTTTAACAACTCACATTAGTTGGTAAGTTATATGAACGGAAGATGAAGTGAAGACTATAAATGATAAATAACGATTGACCCTTGACATAAAAGGTTAAGAGTGTAGCGTTCGAGGAAACTTAAACGCGGGATCTTGTTCCAAAAATCCGCAGTTTTGTGAAAAAAGAAACTGAGTGGAACTTCTTCCTTACAGTTGGAATACGGAGCTAATGAGATTGGTTCGACTCCGTGGACGCGGCATGGTGTGTCTTGGCTCTAGCGGACCAAACTACTGGAGCCAAACAATGGAACTCTTCCGAATATCTACCATCGAAGTAGCGATATTCCCGGCACATGCTTTTGCCGTTCCGTCTGAGGATAAGGGACTTCAGTAAGGCAAATAACGTCTTACACACGCGAAAGCGAACGGGTATCAAGGCTGGAACGTGAGAATTGAGCAACTCCAGTTCTTATGTGCAGCTCTATTTCATTTTTGCTGTAATCCGACTCGTTTAAAAACAGCGCGTGACAAAAGGCGGGAAAATACTGTGGGCAACGGTACAATGATCCGACCATTTCTCCAGCACCTTTAGCAATGGCTTGTATATATGACTTCCACTTGAGGTCGAGATTGAACATGAGTCCAAATAGACCAGTGATTCTCAAACGCTGTGCCGCGGCTCACTAGTGTACCGCGGCTTACTAATGTGCCGCACGATCCTCTTAAGTGTTCTACGAAACATTGTCACGGCATGCATATATTATATATATATATATATATTAACTATAATTAAGTAATTCATTGAGTCTAGAAGAAACCTCAACAGGAAGCACTGGACGGACGTTTTGTCCTATATTTGGGACTCATCAGCAATGCGCATCCACTACCGAGAATTGAAACCCGGACAGTTACGTTATCAGGCAAACGTCATACCAATGGTTTCCAACGTGTCCCAGTGACGAAGCGGTAGCGAATCAGACTCGATCACGTATTCCATGATGGAACTCATCCGAGTTTCTCTTT